CCTAAATTAACTTGCCATTCAGGTTGACTGGAGATTGTGGGAAACCGAATTGTGGCTGAAGGCCAGTTGAACTGATTCCTGAAGTGTTCTGTCCATTGATCCAATCTCTCGGATTGAGAATGAATAATATGTCCATCTTTCTCTGAGATTGTTTCGCTATCAGTCGGGTTCCTGACGCCGGTTTCCTTAACAAGTCTGAACAATTGTTTGCTATTAGCTATTGCCGCTGCATTTTCCGTCTTTCTTGATTTCACTACCCACCACTGTTCACGATCATTGCGTAGACTTCTTGTCAGCTTGCGCTTAAGCTGACTCCGATCTTCATTATGCTCAGAGCCAGGTGGAATGAGTTTCCGAGCATCTATCAGTGCGATAGATGCTGCTGAGATCCAGTACTGCTCCCTAACCTTACGGGTTACCGTACTAGCAGATATCACTGCTGTTTCCACAGCTTTTCGGATATCATTCCATGCTGCCTCGGGGTGAACATCACTTGTATGGCTGCCTAACTGTTTTCCTACATGTTCCTGAAATATACTCTTAGCTTGACTATCATTAAGTAGGCCCCTAAGAGGTTTCCTTGCAGCGTCTTTCCTACGTCCAGTAAGACGCAAGCAAATACGCGCTCGTACTAGAATATGATCTCAATCTAAGCATGTGCTCCAGAATGAGCGACATTCTTCTATCGAGCCCATCCATCGGTGACTGATAGCGATGTGATCGATTTGGGTCCAAGGTTAGGACGAATTTGAGGGTTGCCATGTTAAGATATGTTTTTCCTTATGCTTAAAGTTAGTATTTGCAAGGAACAGGCGGTTATCTGAGCATAGCTGTAACAGACGGTCGCCATTATCTGTTCTTTGAGCCACGACACCATAAGATCCACCCAGGTGTCGTTCCCTTTCGCTTGGCTTACCTATTTGAGCATTAAAGTTACCAGCCACTATTACCACATCAGAGCCCCTAGCTTTTCGGAGAAGGTCGGAAAGATTTCTGCAAAACTCATCTTTTACATCATCTGCACTGCAGTCAGTGGGAGAATAGGCAGAGACGACGAAGAGGTAACGAAGAGTGTCCGTATCTTTCCGATTCCTTATTGTTTCATTTATTCAAACAGCGTACAAACGACTGTATACTGGGATCCAGTCTAAGAGAGCTAGTTCTGCCCTATGACTCAATGCTATAACTACACCAGCGAGGCCACGGGACGCAGCATCAGGTCTTCCAGATACACGAAGGGTGAATCGAGTTGGTTCTTTACTTTGATATGGTGGGGTCAAACGAGGGACGCTACTTGGATCCTGTATGCGCGTTTAGGAAACTCAGCACACATCGATGGCGCGACATTCTAGAATTCTAGCTAAAGAAGCCTGTTGTCCTATTTGGTATAGTATTCGGATGTTAAAAGCTCCTACATATCACAAAGTGATAAAGAAACTTGAGAAGGGTTAGTCGGGGACATCTGATAGTCATTATGAGGTGTATGAAGGATTTGATCTTGATCATCGTGTATGAGGGCTGATGTCACTCCCCGGTTGCCCACACAGTGGAAGGGTATTATTTGAGGAACCTGAAAAGGAAGTTGGAATAGTGTTGGCCTTAACGACATGGGGGCTTGACCACACATCTCAACGGGCAACTCCTTGAGGCCGGTCGCGCACGGCCTTTTCGTGGGAGGTTTTTAACGTGTTTGTTCCGTTCTTCAAAAGACATTGCAGCCGGAGACTGAAATCCGTGGGGTAAGGTGAGGTTTGACGTTTTTATGGTCTACCGTTTTTAACCCCACCCCTGCTTGTGAGAAGGCAGCATCGCTGCAGATTCTGGTTGTCTTAAGGAAACACTTTACTGCAGTCAGGCCCCTCTACAGTCAGGAGTACAAATTCACCCTCTGACCCCGAGTTGCTACTTTTAGTCTTACCGTTCTACAATCGACCTGTCTGGCATGTTAGAACCTACAGGAATATATGTTTCATCCAATATAGCCCGGTTCGGTCATCACGATAGACAAGCCCGACCACCACGTCAAGGTAGCAGCTACGGTCGGTACCAGAATGGATCGAGGACAGATGTTCATTATAGGCCAGTTAGTATCCCATTGATGTGAAGGACAATATCGGGCATTATTTCACCTTTACCCTGCCTTAAAGTGATGTTATTTCCAGGAATTCTTCCACAACTTCGCGATAAAATATCTGTAACGACGTGAAACGTGTTCAGTGATTATGGATATATGCCCGTTAACGTCGATTTACAACTGGTGATTTAAGAAGCCTAACTTTTGTATGATTTGTATGCTCTCCAAAATTTCTAACTGCTTATGTCATGAAATTCTCCAAGCACGTATGTAGTTCACATATTTTCTAAAATTACCGTGCTGTCGAAAGTCACACAGAATAAAGACGTTTATGTACTTAAAATGCAAAGAAGCTACCTGATGAAATTCATAGTCTTTGAATCAAGCTAAGAATCAGTTCACAAATGCTTCAAGAAAAGACGAAGGCCGTTAATAGATTAGGCTGATCGATCTATTCGTTTAAATTCATAAAAACCTATTACGTCATGTAACTCCTCCTCGATAAGATATAGTCAAAGTTTTTAAGTGATGTCACGGAGCTCTAAAAATGTTCTAAAACTTTTCTATTGTCGTCCGCAACATATTCTCACGAGGACTGCGAATGCTAATTTACTTGAGTCTCTTAGGCTAAACTAAACACAAAATTGGTTTGACAAGCATCTCACTATCTTCCCAACAAAGCAAATCTTGGTCCGGATATGTTCCACTCAGTTGTACTGAGAAGAAGTCCTCATCTTGACAACATTCCCTAGTCTACTACTCTCAAATTTGCCATGTCAGGACATAGCAACAGACAAACAGTAGCTGCCACACGTGACTCCGATTCTCAATGAAGGCTAATGTAATGATCCTTTCAGCTGCCCCACGGTAGCGCCTCTTCAACTTATGTACTAAAAGTCTGTTACTTTGCTCACTTTTGCGCATTTCGAGTGGTATAAGCTCATACTTTATGGCAAATAATGGTGCTTTATTCTAGGATTTATGCGCCATTTGTGATACTGTTGCGTATTCAGTCTTGTCTTTAAAATCAATCAAACGTGGTATCACTTTAAATTCACTGTCAAACATGTTAGAGCTGATAATACTTTGGGCTTTGTTCTGGATTATTGCTCTTCGTCCTGGTGAGTCACATTCACGATAGCTTTCATCTTTCGCAGACACTATTTCAGAACAACTGACGATGCTGTTTCTAACATGTACTTTACGCGCATTCAACTCCTTGAGGATTGGAAAGACGTTATGGCTAGGCTTTACAATTGTGGTCTAGTTGAGTATTAGTACTACAATAATAGAACTAATCCCGAAATTCAAGACTTGCCATTGTGTGACAGTTTAATCTATAAGACCATGCGTGGAAGTCACATCACTGTGCACGCTGACCTGTATCGTGACAATATGATTTTTCTAAATAATACATTTCGGATGGGGGTAGAATAACGTATTAAGTATGAATGTGAACAAGTTACATAGAATGACCATGCCTTAAAGGGCTTATAGTGCCATGCCGAACAACTGTTCTCGCGTTCAACATCACTGTCCTTCTGTCTGTGTTAAACGCTGAATGTAAATCATATGTTTAGCTTCGATTATCCTGTGGTTGGTACCAATACCACTGCAGATCTCTCCCGCCAGAGCTGACATGATTTTGGTTCAGTACAACGTCGGGTGGGAGTATCGTGCGCAGAAGATTACCAAGAGAATAGTATGAATCCTACGAGTATTAGTAAACCGAAATTCTGGGATAATATGGAGATCGATTTGCATGATCTTGAGTGATCGTACGATAATGAGGTCAATTAAAATCATGTGCGATAGATAATGCTGACACGGTATTGTGCGATACTTTCGGCTAAATAAATTTTTACACGATAACTAACAATAAGTGCTGTTAATGAGGTTTTCAGGGAAAGAATAAGATGCAATCGAGGTTGTTACAACTCTTAACTCACGTCAATGATAATAGAATAAACCTCGGTCAGTTTTGAGGTCAGTTCGACTGTGATGTTTTCACTTTTCAGGGGTTTTAGTCAACCTCCTTTACTGATAAATTGAGTGAATGATTGTGTCGTTAAACCTTATACTAGACTGACACGTTTCTGAGATATTTTCTGAATGAGCGACTGATAGAGAAACATACTGAAATAATAAAAACGGGCTGAAACTCTCATTCAATGTTTACCATGGGAAACTTATTTTACCACAAATAATGTTGACATTGCGCTTTCCAATCTACACCACAACCTGATATATTGTCTCGACTGCACTGCTCCAGTTATTGGCCGTGTGGCTTATAATGCTAATAGGGGCCAAAATACTTTTAAAAGAAAGCTGAGGAAATTAAAATACCGCTACTATGAGCAGAATGATGTGTATGCACTTCAGAGTATACTTAAATTAATCGACAGAAATGCTTCATCTAAACGTAAGTATTTTATGAATATAGAAAATAAAACTCTTTGTAGTAAAAGCCCAGAATTATCAATACTTCGACTTTTTAAATCCCGTGTAAAGTCAAATTCCTTTTGCACGACTAAATTCTTCATAGTTAACGGAAGCATTGTTAACGACCCGAATACTATATGCGAACAATTCAACAAGCACTTCTCGCAGTGCTACAAAAGTAAAACTGAAAACTACATCATTACATTTTCAATGCTGACATCCAGACATCTGTCGAAAATTGATTTTACACCTTCCAACATCAAGCAGGCCATAGCTGCCCTGAAAAAGTCTTATGATGGTGGACCTGACGGGATACCTTCATCATTTGTGAAATATGGAAGTAGAGAATTTCCACTATTTTGTTTGAAACTTTTCAATCTATCTATGGAATATGGGACCTATCCATCTGTATGGAAAACATCCCTTATCACCCCTAGATTCAAAACAGGACCACGTAGTGATATTATTAACTATAGGCCAATTAATTTGACATCCGTGCTCTCAAGAACCATGGAAAAAATCATCCGCAAACAGCTACTATCATTTTTACTTTCGGCTAGTCTGATCAGCCCATCCCAACACGGGTTTATGACTAAACGCTCATGTTTCACATCGCACCTGGAGTTTTTTGATCAAATTACCCAGAGAAGAGATGTTGATCAGTCAGTGATAGCTGTTTACTTCGATTTTAGTAAGGCTTTAGACAATGTCTCACACAAACTTCTTCTTTTAAAACTCTCTTCATTTGGTATAAAGAATCCCCTTTTATCTTGGCTCAAATCTTTTTTAGAAGAACGTAGCCAAATCGTTCGCTTTGGATCTTGCTACTCTAAACCTGTGAATGTAACCAGTGGGGTTATACAAGGAAGTGTGGTTGGTCCATTACTCTTTCTCCTTTTTATCAATGATGTGTGTCCCCTCTTTCAGTATGGTAAGCCTTTCCTTTTTGCTGATGACCTGAAAGTAGTATATTCATTCTCTTCTCCTACGAAAGAAAGCTATATTTCAGCGGTAATCCAAGAGGAAATAAACAAGTTGTACGAATGGACTATTTCGTGGAATATGCCAGTTAGTGTTGACAGAAGTGGATTTATTCACATTGGTCGCTGTCTTATCTTAAATCTGACTGTACAGACACATACACTCAAACCTCTCAACACTGTTCGTGACCTGGGTTTAAGTTATAGCAATAGTCTGAACTTTTCTGAACACATTATATCTCAAGTATCCAAAGCTAGAAAGCTCATCGGATTGATAATAATAAACTTCAATAATATCGAATCGAGATTGCTACTATACAGAAAATGTATCTTACCCATTCTTGAATATGGTATTTTAGTTTACAGTAATTGTAGACATAATGACCTGATTAGAATTGAAGATGTTCAAAGAAAGTTCACCAAAGCTGTTCTGGGGTATTCCGATAACAAAGACTATCACCAAAGATGTCAACAACTCAACTTGGAACCTCTTTGGATCAGACGTATCAAATTAAATCTTGTCTTTATCTACCGGCTTATTAACGGTATTTCCTACTCCTCAGTATCCACCCCTACATACCTTATGATATCGTCCCACAATCTACGCAATAAAGAGAATATTCTAGCGATTCCAAGGACCCACACAAACTTACTTCTGAATTTTTTCCTTATTCGCTACTCCACCATGTGGAACAGACTGTCAGTGAACCTCCGTTGCAGTGAAACTACAACCCGGTTCAAAAGTCTCCTTGATGATTTTCTTTCCGAAAGTGGATTATGTCACCTATTGAATATCAATGTATTCAATAATGATTTATACAAACAAGGTCCGTTATCCATTTAATTGCTTGAAAAGCAAAATAAAACCTTTAAATCTTTCCACGTCTATTTTATTTTATTTCTATTTATCTTAATATATGAAATCTGCTTATGTTCGTGTTTATCATTATTACCGTTATTAATATCATTATTAGTTCCCCGACACATTAGATATTCTTTTTGTATCTTCTCATCCTTATAAACATATTTAACTCCAGATTGTCCTTTAAAATCAATTTTGACTTTCATAGCATCATTCTTAATTATTATTGCACAAATATTTATACTAATATCCGGTTTCACTCTGTATACTATTACATAAATCTAAATGTATTCATCCGAGTGCTTTAGAGGATTTTTATTTTATTTTTTCAATTTCTGGTTTCCTTCTGAGGTTGATATTCATTACGCAATTATTATTCTTATCATGGATGAACCTTTTCACTAGGTATCCACTTCTCTTGTCTCTCTTTTTCCCTTCTATATATATATTATTCTTAAGATTACGAAGTTTGTAATTAAGACAATAAATTGTGTTATACTTACATTAACTTCTCAGACCTGTTTTATATTCACTATGCATATATGTCTCATACATATTGATATTTTATTATCCTTTTCACTCAATTGAGACTTTCATCGCATCACTCCAATCTATAACTGCACAAACATTTATTCTAGCGTCATATCTTACTGCAATTGTAAGTTATTTTTTCTTAATTACTTTTGTTACTAATTTAACGATACACACATAGTCGTTTTTTCTTGCTCTGTGTTCATAAACACGCCTATTAGACTGTTTGCGTATTTCACGTCTCCTTTATTTCTATTCCCTTATTTTCTCCATTTCCTTTTTTAAACTCAATTCAATATTCTCAATTGCACAGACCCGATTTATTATTATTAATATTCTACTATTATTGCTCTAATTTTTTTAAAATGACAAGTATAATGCTGACATTATTGAAAATTGTGTATTATTGCATTTTTTGAAGAAACCCGAAATGGTTTCTTCACAACACTTATGTACCCATAAGATGTTTGTGAATAATAATAATAATATATACATAACCACTAAAAAATAACACCAAGTGGTGACAACTACAAGCTGATTCATCGACTGTTTTCTTGTTAGTAGTTTCACTAATCTCATCGATTGTATTACGTGGTTTTCATGACAATGTTTTGTGACGGCATCTAGAAACTATTATAGTGCTGATTGAGGATCAGCCAGTATGAAACAGGTACTATTGTTTTAGGCGATTGTGAAGTACCAGAGGGTTGTGGCATGAATGGATACAAGCTGCCTATATATACTACAAATTATGATCCGAAAATATTCGTCTACATAATTCTAATTTCAAAAGTAGGCTTTAATGATTATTTCAAGTGCTTGTTTGTCTGACAACTATGTGATTGTTTAATTAATAAACCAGTGCAGTGCGACAATATTTTAATCCGGTGGCTTTAGTATCTGAACTATGTCAAATGTCTTTTTAGGAGAATAATATGTTACTCCAATCTGTGCACCCAATACTCGTAGCAATAAAGATTATGATGGGTTTAGCCTAAAATGTTAAAGGCGGTTTAAATAACCGCTAAATTCACAAAAAGTAGAGATGGTGCAATATAACTCATGTGTAAGCTAGGTCAACATACTATGATATAATATAATAATATATTTCTGCATGAGCAGGTACATGCCATTTTTATAGACATGATCTATAAATAACAACATTTGTTGACGCACAACACGCTCCCCAACTTATTAAGCTTATAGGTTTTATAAAGTAGACTCATAGAGCGCTTGCTGAAAACCACGACCTTGAGAAGACGCGTACGTCAAGTTTGTTCTAGACCTCAGAAATGCCAAAGCTGTGCTCTCAGAGCAAGATTCTGAAGAAAAGAAAGTAAAACAGAAGAACAGCAAGCCACGTTGCTCAGCATTGTGTAGTGGAACAGACAGAGGTATAATAAATTAGATTAAGTTCACATTCTCTCTTGTCAGAGTGAAACAAAGTTAGAGGCTAAGGATGAGAGAATGTAGTAACAAATAACATTGAGTTGTGATGTTTAACAAGTTGGAGTAAGCTCATATGAAGGAAGGGAAGTCAAGGTTGGTACAAGCAAAGCTATTTATTAGAAGAGAGTGTGCACATAGAGGGTGAAGTGTTAAGAATACTAATAACTATATCTTTTATTGTTTAATTTTTTCTTTTTTTGTCCATCCGATGCCAGTCACACAATCCTAGTGTAAAAGTCCGAGTTAGCATGTTATAGGTTGTCTTAGTAGATTAGCTAATCCAGCATAAAATTGGAAACATGAGTGTGAGTGGTGAGCGTAGGAAAACAAACTATGTCACAGATCGATTGACTTATTCTCAATCATAAAGAGCCTGATACATACAAGATGTCTTGTTCCTGTGGATTGAAGTCACCACCCTCACCATCAATGCTTGCTGGTCGGTAACTTCACCCTCCCTCCTTTTGTGATGTTGAGCTCATTTAAGCTTACTTTTGGATATATGTCATACCTCACACAATCCTCTGTGTTTCACAAGCTGTTGGAAAACACTATTTCTATTAGTACCATTTTACGAGCTTATCAGGCGGTTACAAGTTATGGACTGTGGATAGGGCTGATGTTATTTTGTGTTGTCATAACCAGTTGATGTGTAACAGGCACCATAGACGCAAGAACACTGGTAGTAGGCAGTCGATTGTGCGGTCCTCTTGACTTTTTAGGGTGGTAGTGAGTGTCCCTTAGCGACCGAGTTTAGTTGAACAGTATCGATAGGTCCAGTGAGTTATGGGAAATCTAACAATAAAAAGGAAGTTTGGCCGAAAATTTTAAAGTTAGGAGATGACTTATGAAAATATAGTGAGGAACATGACTGATATAATATAGACTCTTCATAAAAGGTTGCTGCATTTGGCATGATAGCATTCAAAAATATATAGTAATGTTGAGCAGAACTAGGAATCGTCAAATTATTGTTCAATCTAGTATAGTTTTCTTGAAAACGACACACTCATAGTAATATGCCATTTGAAGTCATTAAATATCTCATACCGAAAAGGATTTTGTAAATGCTTCATGTGAAATATATACTGCTAGTCTAAGTGAAAGTATACACATCTTAAAAAGAGCTAGAAACATAGTAAATCATCTAGCAAAATAGTAAAACTCGCCTGCATTTTTTTCGGAATTTCGATCATCTAGTGAATTCGACGTATAAAAAGCCAATTATGACGAATGATTTGTGTCAAAAAGGGATTAGACTGAACGCACGGTATTGAAACTAGATTTTGGGTGCTCATGATGCTGTTGACGTTGTTACTCTGTTGATTCGAGGCAAATCCATGAGTCAAGGTAAATACGTGGCTCTCATTGTATGAACGATCTGAAATGAGCTTAAGAGTGCAGAGACATTATAGCTTAAACTCACTGTACGTCCGTGGAATAATAACTTTATTGTCTGGCAACGGAACTCGTAAATTTGAAATTGGAGAGGCTGTGGTCTGAAGAATAATGAGTGAAAAAAAACAAAATAAAGAATTAGGTCAGGATAACTATTCAATTCTTGCCTACGTTAGCTGCGAGTTTATATGTATTTACATAAATCAAGAGCCATATTTGCCTGTGGTTGATGTTTTAACAAGCCTGTTTCACTCAACCATGTGAATGTCATTAGGACTTGTCAATGAGCTACTATAGCTAATTATAAATATAGATGACCATTTATTGGTATCGATCGAGCTAGTGAGCTAGGAGTACTAATCAGTACTACAATACGGTAATACACGTGGGCATCAATCAACAGACTAATAGAAAATGGGCCCTAAGTGCCCTTGTACGGTCGACTATGAAAGAGTCGATCCTCTCGAAGCGTTCTCACATGGCGTCGAGTATACAGTTACTGTCAGTCCTACTCACTATCTCGCGGCGGTCTGTTGTTTACGAAATCGAGATGACGAAAAGAGAATGTCCGGCGCTTTAACATGGTTAGTGGATATGGAGAATCCACCTAGTGGAGTTTGACAACCCTGATTCCAAACCAATGGTGCACATGAGCTCCAGAAAATAAATGGCGCATGATCCATGGGACTGCATCTCCTTGTAGTGGCTCTGCTTAGTTGATCGATCAACTCGATAACCATCGTAATATAAACTATCAACGGTGTTTGAAATCAGAAGGCAATGAGAAACAGCAACTACACTTTATTTGAGGATAACACAGATCACAAAGCTATTAGCACATAGAGCGTATTTGAAGCGGAGAAGAGAATAAGTATATGCGAGCAATTACATAGGCAAATTTATAGGGGTGCAGCAAAGCACGGGCTAATAATAAGATTTGAATACATACATGTATGGGGAGGATTAATATTTAAGCAATCAACATTTTAGCTATAGTCTTTCATGTGATCCAGTAATCACAACGGTACAAATAATATTGTTTGTTAAATAAGTTAGTAAAAGAGCTTAGCCAAAATTAACCATGATCGAAATCGGTTGTAGGTTAGTTGCTATATCCTAAAGTTGCCCTACTACCTTGTGAGTCGAACGTTTAGGTAAAGGGCCCCGGGTGTGGCACTCTAAGAAAACCACCTGCCTTGATTTTGGTGTCCGGACAATATCGTAGCACACACGAATCAGCGATGAATAATCCCGGAAATATTACTCTTGCTTTAACACTCATTCAGAAAAATTTTATTCACAACCATTTGATGACATTCGTAATTATTTCTTTCATACCACGTCTCCTATGTACTCCCTTTTATTCTCATTTTGATTACTTTAATTTTCAACTAATACAGCAGTTCGCGTATGGTGGAAGCCCTGTCCTATCTAAATGATCTCAAGTCACTGACTGATCGAAAGTTGAGTGCCACTACAGAATACGAATACTGAAGCAGTCTTTCTAAAAAACGTATGTCATTCAACCTAGCCCCATCAACGTTCGCACACTAATGCAGATCAGACAATAAATAGGCCAGGCTATTTATTTGGAAGTTTCAAAGTCGACATCTATTGTCTATCCGAGACCCGTATTCAAAACTAGTGGAGTACATCAAATTCGCTCTCCGTCTGTCGCCTTGAAAAGCTTGTTTTACGTGCGCTTATACGTGGACTCTGTTATATCTTCGTATGATTTTCCTTGCGTTCGTGTCGCACTAAGCTCCAGAGATGAGGTAGCACTAGTTTTTTGGGTCCCCATTAACAGTCGGTTGTGTGTTGCTATATTAGAAAGCTACATTACAATGTGAATAAATCGGTATTTGAAACAATGTTTTTTCGTCATCTCCGCCTACGACACTACATATTGCAGACTGGATAAGATGAAGAATGCGTTTTACCACCGGTTAACAGCTTTTTCACAGTAAGTGCGTTTCACATATATTGTAGTACTAGACGTAGACTTGAATGCTCAGGTCGAGCATCAAGGCAGAGGAGAGAGTCCTTTAGGTGGGGGTGGACTTGTTGGACACAGGTCAGATAACGATGACCATCTACTGCTAATTTGCGCAGACTACAACCCACTTCTGACTAGGAATAACTACCAGTAATGTCATTGACGATGTGTTACTTTGTACCCCATTCTGCACCTCAAAAATGGACTCAGTGTGATCACATCTCTATCAGCTGCACTGGCTTGGTTGTGTACAAGACTGCCGCTCCTTTTGAAGTACTTACATGAACTCCTGTCATGCCCTTGTTTGCACCAATTTCACTACGTTTTCATTGGTCAACAAATTCATCTTCCAGAATGGATCGATGTAAACGAATTGGTTGTAGCTTGTGTTGCAAGTAAATGTCGAACCGAGATAGATTCGAAGTTAGCTACCATCCCTCCGTAAATTATATATGAGCATTGGCTGTGATCGCATGACGTCATGAAAATGGCAAGTAAAGTTGCTTCAAGCTTCGCGTGACGTTCTATTCATAAGCAGCGGGTTTCTCTAGCTCCTTATATCTCACAGAAACCTACTGGTCTACTCTGGTCGGTCGCGAGTTCGACGTTCTAGAAACAGCTCCGGTGGATATAAGTAATCGTGATGTGAATCTGTTGCCTGGAGAAAGACTTCGATCTCGGGTACGCAGATGACATTATCTTACTATGCGGTGATAGCCATATTATGCAATCCACAATTAATCAGTTGACAGTCAGTGTTCGTAGCTATGGCATGTTCTTTGCACATCCTGATTCCGAAGTACTTTCACAAAACTGACAAGATCCTGTACCTAGACTCACTTTTGGTGGTGAGTAGTTTTTAATTTAGTTGAGATGTTCGTGTATCTGGGTAGCGGTGTAAGTGTTGGTGGTTGCATGAGTGATGAGGTCAATCCACGTATGGTGAAAGCCAGAGCGACTTATGCCAATCTGGGCCATCTTTGGCGCCTTCGTGATGTTAGTTTGACTGTAAAGGCCGGATCCACAACGCGTCGGTGAGAGCAGTTTTGTTCTATGCTTGTGAAACCTGGCCTCTCTGAGTTGAGGACGTTAGACGAATCTTTGTGTTTGATCATCGTTGTCTCCGAAGGATTGCTGACATCCAGTGGCAACACCATGTTGGTAATCCAGAGGTTCGGCACCGTGTGTTCGGGCACAGCGATTATGATTCAATTAGTGTAACTATCTTGAAACATCGACTTCGGTGACTTGGACACATCTTACGAATGTCGTCCCAGAGAATTCCACGTCGTGCATCATTTGCCGATATTGGGACCGGTTGGAAAAAACAGAGAGGTTCGTGTATGACATGGTGTTGTGGTATGAAAGAAAACTGTACAGGACTGGCTTGTGTTGGTCCTTCACGACTCTGATTGGGGTCCGAGAGATGGTGCTACACAGTGGCTAGAGACGTTATCAGATATGGCTCAGAATAGAAGCCAGTGGCGATCCTGCTGTAACCTTCTTTTACTTTCTTCATAAAAATGAACGTAGTGTCTTTCTCGTTGTACTTTTGCTAACTGAACTGCCTCTCTTATTATTATCACCTTAAGGTATCATTTTAGGTCATCTATTTTCCCTCTGTGTCAATGAATTACCGGGACTGCTTAAGTCGTCAATTATTATCCTCTGTAGATGATATCAAGATCCGGGGAACAATAAGTACTGATGGTGATCATCTTGGCCTTCAAGCCGACCTAGACGAATAAGCTAAATGGTTCCAAAGTCGTGACTCAGAAATCATTTCTAGAAAGACTGTGCTCATGCATATCGAACAGATTAGTAGTTACCTGTATATTGTCAACGGTAGATTGTTTATATGTGCGGGATTACAAAGACTTAATTATAACAATAAGTCATTAATTCAAAACAACAATGCATCGCAATACAGTAGCTGCCAAGGGTTTTCGGGCGTTATGGTCACTTCACCGAGCATTCATATGCTTTGACGAAGAGTTGTTTCGGGTTTTATAATCCACCTATGTAAGACCACACCTAGAGTTCGGTGTCCAAGGTACTGTTCCAAGTCGTATTACTGTTACTGACAAACATGAGAGTTCTCAATGTGCGGGAGCAAAGTCAGTGAAGAGTGGTTCCTAAATCTTTTACGATGGGCTCTCAAAACACCTGAACCTTTTCTTTAATCGTACCACAGAATGTGAGGTGACTTTATATCGGCATCCCGTATCTTTAATAACGAATAGAATGTTAATAAATCCCATCTTTTTGCGCCCTCCAGAGCTAATGCTCTCCAAGGCCATAGCAAGAAAGTCCAAAAACCACAATCTGATAAGCTCAGCGCGGGTTTCTGTCTTTTGACCGAGTAGTCAGTGTCTGGAACTCCTTATTCAAAGGACTTGTATCAGCCCCATCAATAAATATTTTTGAGCATAAGCTATTACTTTACGAGAAAAAAGCTGAATGGATTAACATAGGTCGATCGACTAACAATCCTTCTGATTGAGTCGGATTTGTGTTTTCTCGCGGGTGTTTCTAAGATTCGCGTTATAGTAACTTGAGCATGCCGGTTAGCAATGTGGAAGTGCCTTCTCTGTGAGTATCTAGGTTTCTGTACATGAGTTTAACTTTAGTCTATCTTCAGGAACTTATTTTTCGTTTTATAGGTAATCAAATATATATTGTGTTATCCAGATTAAGTTCAGATTCAGATGCGCGTAAATAGATTAGAAAGCCTACGACCTGTCTTTTCTTTTCTAGTAAGCTTCTATGAACGTTTAGTCTTCCCCTGAAAAAGTCAATTGGATGTGAGGTCACCACTGCTTCGGGTAATAAGTTCCAAGAATTGATGATATGAAAACCTGAATGCCACGGGTATTTTGTTCGTCCCTGGCTTTTCTACTCTCCTACTATGCCTTCTGAGATATCCTGATCTGGTAGAAAAAAAGAGCGGATGTGTTACGTCCAAAATAATTTTTATTGCTCCTTACGTCAAAATCAGACCACCTCTTCATCTGCGGTAGTATATAGTAAAGTGGTCTAGATTCTCAAGCCGCTCATTGTATTGTAAACCCAAGAGTTCATGGATTGCACGGGCAGCCGCCCTCTGCACTTTTCCTAGGATATCCGAGTCACATTTTAGACAGGAGCTTGCAGTCTGAACGTAGTTTTCAAGTTTGGATCTGACTAAGGTTGTGTATACGGTAGAGAACATACTGGTGTCCAACTTGGTAAATGTCTGTCTTAAAACTTTTAGAGTTCTAGATCCCCTAGCTGCGACCTCGCGGTAGTGGGTCGTGGTCTTAAGGTCACGGCTCACTGCCATCCTGGGATTCTTGTGAGACTGGACTACGGGCACTGGTTCTTCCCCTATGCCGTATCTACTTACCTTTGTATCCCGAAAGTGCATGTAGACACCTGCTTCAGTCTGGGCACCTGGGTAGTATCACGGCCCACACACAATCAAGTGACTTGCGTGATGCGTATGTATTCGGTGCCCCTTTGTACTAATATTTGTGTCCAAATAAATAGATAATAAATATGTAGACACTTGGCGGCGTCGATAAGCATCAGGTATTTTTTAGATCAACTGGCCAGAACATCTTAGTCCGCCCGAAATGCACATGGGTTTGCATCTCCTGTTATTTCTCTCCAGAGTTTTACATCGTCAGCGTATAGTAGCATTGGGGACTCAACTATACTTGGGACTTCATTTACATGCAGTATTAAAAGCTGAGAAGCTGGTGCGGAGCCTTTCGTGACACGTCAAGTAGTGTAAAGCAGGTCTGGATACTTCTTGATTTTATATAACTTCGTCATTCAGATCCTCTTGGAGATCACGCTTGTGTCTTCTGAGATTTTGGAGTTTGATCTTCCAGATGGTCTACTCATTAATGTAGAATAAGAGTATGAATAGTCCTGTTTGATGAGGATACTGATCACATTGAATAACAATACTGACGTGTTTGGGATGGATTTCTTTTGAAAACACGATATGACTTCGCGGTTGATCTATGTCAAGTCCGAAACTAATGATAAGGAGTGAAGTAATTCAGTGTGTCGACCGCTTCACTAGTCGTGGGAGTTCCATCAGTGAGTTAGTGCCTGGCAAAATCTCAGTATGGAATCCATAATTCTGAACGGGTTTAACCAACATTTCATTTAGATAGTCGAGGTGCACTTCAAATATTCTAAGGACAGACATTGTTCTGCAGTTCATTCTATCATACTTTATGACTGTAAAATGTGACCTTCAAAACCAGAGAATATTGTTAAATTGCCAGTATTTAATCATAGATACCTTCAAAGTATTGCACGCATATGTTTGGACCATCAAGTTAGCAACATTGTGGTTATTCACCGGTTACTTGACACCACCGCATATCTCGACGAGTAATGCTTAGTAATTCAGAAGTAGGTTTAAAGAAAACTAGGGGGATCAAATTAGAACGTGGCATCAATTCATGAAGTTAATGACTGTTGAACTGGGCTATGTTGTTATTTGTAGACTGCATATTAAATCTTTATGATTATCGTAGCCAATGGTTGAAGACAGTTGATATGGCTTTTAGAAGATCATATTGGTGAAGTTTTGTTCACTTTGTTTTCTCGATATTTTGAGTTTTAAGATTATCTCCGAAACAGGTGCATTGCATAAAACGAGCTGGTTGATTTTCGAATAAGACGATGTGTTGTGAAAAATGTAAATGACTACAATCTCTAAATTGTCGTCAGACGATTAATTGACTCTTTTTATCATTACAAAGATCTGAGGTGACCTGGTTGAAATCTTCAAATAACTGACCGGTGAATTTAGAGTTGAAATGCTCTCACTTTGCTTGCCTTCTAAAACAGAAAGTTTACAAAGTCATACGAAGATGTTCACAGTCTTTAAATCAGTAATTTGTCAACTGATTACCTACTTTTTAATCATATAAAGTTTTCTGCCTCAAAACATGATAACTTTCTCTGTTGGTGTATTTAATGGGTTGATTCAAATAAAAGTCTCATCACTAGATGCATGAGATGGTTTCTAGCATCTGGTTCTATCCGGTTGACTTAAGGTATTCTTTAGAAAGTTAGGGCTTGTTAAGCCAAATAAGGCAACTCTCAAAATACTTCTGGAATGAGCTCATGGCTATCAAAAGGTTCTTTGGAATTTGGTGGCTGACCTTAAGCCTTTTTTACGTAATTTATTGAGGCGATTACCAATCAAGTTTTTCCCAGTTAAAAGGATGGGAGCTGTTAAATTGCATCAAAGTTCGCTTGCATAAATTTCTATGAGTATTCAATTCCAGGTATTTGAGGGTGAAAGCTCGTTACTGTATTTCCAGATTCATAGCTTTGGTGTTTCAATAGGAGGATAGAAAAGGTTGCATCATGAAGTGATACGAGACTAAATATGAAGTTAGACTGCGTAATAATGAGGGTCAGAGAAGAATAGGAAAGTGAAAAGAATCCACCGGTCAGAATTATGAAAGATAATATTGATATTTAGAGTCTCGTATCAATTCATGATGCAATCTTTTCTATCCTTTATAGGCATATTTACTTTACAACTATACGAATGTACAACTTGAGTAAGTGATTTCGTCGAAAAGAGTTTCGCTAAATTTTTATTTCTATTCAATGACAGTGGGTTATTTTAATTATGGTATTTGTTTGTCAATTTCATCGTTAACTGATTTATATGTGTTAGAATCATTCATTGAGCCACACTAACGATTTTTGATGAAAAGAATAGAGGTATCTTAGAAAGTTTGCATTTGCATATTTAATTTTGGGTAAGCAAAAGGTTTCAGAAAGTTTGTTGATTTTTCAAATCCTGTTTAGGGAATCTTATTTTGTATAATTGTAAGATGGGTGTTAAATATGAGTGCCATATTATGGTGTGTACACATTCTTTCAAAACTCAATGTATTTCGGTTTATAGCGCTACTCAGTGTAACCCCCTTTCCTGGTGCCTCACTGTTGATTTTTGTTTTTCGTACATGAAATATATGAATGCCAACTTCATTTATAATAAATAGACAAGTATTTTGAGTTGAACTTTGAAAATTAGTGTAATTCAGCAACATGGAAACTTTACTTTTGGGTGACATTGGGTTTGAGAATTAGCAGTACTACAGTTTTATCCAAATCGTAGACAGAACGACTATTACTTAACTCAAGCCCATGAGCTTACCTTAATTACATCTCAATTTTTTTTACTTTAAAACACACGTCATGGAAAAGCACTTCTTAAAAAACACAATTTGAGTTAGTATTATTCTCGTCGATCTGCTGGCGAGATAATAAATCCCAAAAGCACCTAATTGGATATAGTCTTACACAGATTGTTGTAAGTACCTTCTTTTTATTTTATTCCGTAGACTTCACGGCATTTATACCTTACTATCGGTTTTGGAAATCAATGAAACGTGTTGTGACATACAACACACCTACCTTAATCCATTCTTCTGTCTGCGGTAAGGCAGCATACCCCAGGATAGTTATCAGTACTACTGTCCCCCCAGAACCTAAATTTTAATTTTTTTTCCTGTTTCCTAATTACCTATATAGCATGATGAAGTCTCAAGTAACAATTATTTTAGCTAGTATAACTATTAGACTAACTATTGATGGTTTGAATTAGCTGTTCAGAATAACGAGAGTGGTGGATTACACAAGATATATTGTAACCAGTTTTTCACCTAAGGCATATTTTGCATTATTCCTAATAATTCTTTCTTTAAAACTGAATGGACATATTGGGTAGCAGTGATTATTTTCAAATTCGCACAGGTGTCAACTTATGTTTATCTAGAACTATCTTCCATCATCATCACCTCCAATTTAATTCGTGAGTTGCTTCATCCGTAACTCAATGGATAAGCTGTAACAGATCATGCTTAAACGTATTATTGTCCACTACTTTCAATTAACATTTCTGAATTCCGATTATGTTATGCGAATCTCGTATTTTGTAGGCCAACAAAAGTGTCCTGAAGTGATTCAATCAACCTAATGTCACGTAATAGAAGTAAATTCGAAATCAGTCGTTGAACAGTGTAGAATTTATGATCATAGCATTTGCTTGCAGAATACTGTAAGAATTTTACACACAGTCAATCGGAACTTATAGCAAATTTCGGATTATAAGCAAATAGCTTTTTTAATCGTATAAAGCTTGTTTGTCCGCTTCGTTCGGTTGATGAGTAAACTGAAGTTCCACGATCTTGTTCTCACATTATTTTCACACAAAAAATGCAAGATCTGGCGAACCCACTCAGTCAATCAGCTACAATGTAGGACCAGGCACATATGTGCATCAGCCCAAGTTGCCACAACTCATTAGCATAGCAAAGTAGACATCAAATTCATAGGAGTAGTTACTTCGATGGTAGTAATACGTGGAAGAAAGATTGTGTATAAAGATATACATAAAGGAACAACTTGTTCGTAAAAACAAAAATATAAAGCGGAAGGGAAGACAAAGAGTGTATACACCGACGCCACTGATCGATTCTGAGCCATGTCACCCAGTGTCTCCAACCATTAGTTACAACAGTCACGTGAACCTCAACTAAGTAGTCTGCACTTACCAACATAGCTCAAACCAGAAGTTAGTGACTTCGATGACTGATGCCAAGTTTTAGTTTGGCCGCCCCTAACTTCTAACCATCTCCAACACTTGTCAACATTTCGTGTCGTGGTAATCGGTGTTCAGGCATACGTAACACGTTGCCTAACCATCTCAGTCGATGAATATTCACAACCTCATCAACTGATTTACCATCATTCCCTAATACCTTGTATCTAACCTCATTATTACTTACCCGGTGATGCCAGCAGATGCTGGCAATATTTCTGTGATCAAATAGCAGATTTTCTGTTTCATCTCAGTCATCATTAGGGACAGTATTGACTTTAACTAGTAAAGTAATCAAATTATTTTTTCAGAAATTCCTGAAGCTTTGGAAGGCGGTTGGACCAACCCAATGCATCAGTAACCTCTATCGTTGTCTCATGTTCTCCTTGATCTGTGAATCCAAAACGCCTGATGAAATGGTCGTTTTGTAGCGATGTTGAAAGCACTAAAGCTCTATACCCGATTTTGATAGTCGAACGAACACTGATAGCAATAGTGATATGAAACATAATAATGATGTTATATGCAGTTGGTTTCTGTCTATTAAATATCTTTGCCGAATATTTTCGTTTTACTATGAATAGTAAGCTGTGGTACAAGCTTTTGTCTGTCTTGCGAATACGAATCAAACTCGGATAATACGAAGCCCATATTTTTTATTTACAGACTTCATTTACCAATTGCTTAACCAAATGCTTTTGATGTAAGAGGATCTTGGTTCATATATTTCCGAGACTCATGTACTTTTCTTATTTTTATAGACAGCCAGTGCGTGATCCTGTACTGTTTCCCTTGGGATTAAAAGAAGAGGCAAAAATGTTACTAGGTTCCGAAGACATTACAATACACGCAAAGGATTTACGGAAGTTAGCTCATCTAGGTGACTTTTATGCCCCTGTTTCTACTATTTTGATTTATGATTAATTCCATATTTTCTAATTATATGTATTTTTCGTGCGATCGAATGTCATTTATAGCTACAATTACGTTATCTGAATCTGAAATCAACGTATCGAGGGGGCATTTCCATTCTTCACTTTCGGGTGGTTTTAAAACTCAACATTGTCACGTAAACTTAATGTATCACAAACTAAGATAATGGTCATGTTTACATTCATGTAGTATTAACAGCTGGAAATAAATTCCACGTTTTTGAGTCATTCAAGTGTGTCGCTGTCAGTAATTACGGTTATGTTTTAGTTTATTTAGTCACTGAATTGTAGATATTTCGAGATAAATTCTATTGTAGAATTACTTGGAAGCCCGTCCTCTATGTTGTGACTTTTCTTCCGTCAGAACTTACTGCCGTACACTTGACACTAGCATAATAGAGTAGTATCTTCATCGTAAAAAACTTAACATATTTCATATAAGCCAGCAAAACCAACAAGTAGCAAAATATGCCTTACATCATGGATTACGACAATGAAAACAATAATTCTTGCTCCATTTTACTTGATCTCCTAGTGCAGGATTAAATTTGTGAAAGTGGAGTTTATTGCTACTCATTTTCTAATGGTTTTTCACATGATCATGTTTGTTTTGGATATAGATTTGAATCAGGTTCCAACTTAAGTTTAGATTTTAAAATTGTTCAGATGTGTTACGTTTGATTTCTTTGTTTTATTAATCGGAGGACTTGTTTGGTTTTCGACCTTGATTTGTCATCTAAAACTACTTGGTATAATTAGTACGTTTATTTATCTGTTTATTTGGACACATAAATATTGGTACAAGAGGGCACCAAATATGTATGCGCCACACAAAACAATGAGAATTCTAAGAGAGAAAAAAAGAACTATAACGAACAGATTAGTGTAAGGTAGTGTAGTAATAATAATAATGGAGGAAACGGAAAGGTACAATCAGAAGTGATCTTTCAGTTATGGAAGATACAACCACTTTTTATGAAGTAAAAGAAGGTTACAGCAGGATCGCCACTGGCTTCTATTCTGAGCCATATCTGATAACGTCTCTAGCCACTGTGTAGCACCATCTCTCGGACCCCAATCAGAGTCGTGAAGGACCAACACAAGCCAGTCCTGTACAGTTTTCTTTCATACCACAACACCATGTCATACACGAACCTCTCTGTTTTTTCCAACCGGTCCCAATATCGGCAAATGATGCACGACGTGGAATTCTCTGGGACGACATTCGTAAGATGTGTCCAAGTCACCGAAGTCGATGTTTCAAGATAGTTACACTAATTGAATCATAATCGCTGTGCCCGAACACACGGTGCCGAACCTCTGGATTACCAACATGGTGTTGCCACTGGATGTCAGCAATCCTTCGGAGACAACGATGATCAAACACAAAGATTCGTCTAACGTCCTCAACTCAGAGAGGCCAGGTTTCACAAGCATAGAACAAAACTGCTCTCACCGACGCGTTGTGGATCCGGCCTTTACAGTCAAACTAACATCACGAAGGCGCCAAAGATGGCCCAGATTGGCATAAGTCGCTCTGGCTTTCACCATACGTGGATTGACCTCATCACTCATGCAACCACCAACACTTACACCGCTACCTAGATACATGATCTTCTCGACTACTTCTATCTGTTCACCATCCAGGGTGAGTACAGGATTAGAATCCTGCCAGTCTTGTAGAAGTACTTTGCACTTCGAAGGTGCAAAGCACATACCGTACCTACGGACACTGATTGCCAACTGATTAAGTGCGGATTGCATGGCTTGGGCATTATCGCACAGTAAAACAATATCGTCCGCATACTCAAGGTCGAGAAGTCTTTCTCCAGGCAACAGATCCACGCCACCATTACTTACATTCATCAGAGCTGTTTTCAGGAAGTCATCGATGGCAAAGTTGAAGAGGAATGGTGAGATTGGGCAACCCTGTCTAACCCCACTGCTTGAATGGAACAACGGAGAGAGGTGGTTGTATGCCCTCACTCTGCCTGAGGTGTTTGTATATACGGCTTTTAGGATGTTAATGAACTTCTCAGGCACACCCTTCTTCAATAGACATTTCCAGAGAACAGTCCTGTCCAACGAATAGGAGGCAACCCGGATATCAAGAAACACTACGATTGTTGGCCTTTGATAAGTATGGCGGTGTTCTAACATTTGGCAAAGGGTGAAGATATGATCAATACATCCTCGGCCAGAACGAAACCCAGACTGCTCCTCGCGAGTCAATCTTTCTCGGGTTTTGAACAACTTACGAAGTATGATGGAAGCCAATAGCTTGGACGCAATCGGAAGTAGACTTATCCCCCGATAGTTGTTACAGGAACGACGTGAACCCTTTTTAAAGATAGGGACAACTATCGGCTCATTCCATGACGTTGGTACACTCCCTAGTTCCCAAACCTTTGTAAACAACGTCGTCAATTCCTTAGTCAGAAAGTCACCACCATATTTAAAAGGAGCCGGAGGTAAGTCATCTGGGCCAGGTGATTTGTAACGCTTCAAGAGTAGGAGTTCCTTGCGAACTTCCGCCTCATTTGGTGGATCAGTCGTCACCGGCCATGGAGGGCAGGACAGTTGACCGGTGTTGCCGGAACAGCAGGCCAGTTGAACTGCCCTTCAAAAACTTCTGCCCATCGTCCAAGACATCGATGGATGTTAGTGACTGGCATCCCGTCATCCTCACAGATTGTTTCGCTCACACCAGACTTCTTGCTGCCAGTGGACCCCCATTAGCATGAGTATTTCCGACCTTTTAAGGTGTTGATATTTTCTTACTCTTAAAATGTCCGTACGGTGCATATTAATTATTGTGACATAATGTTTTCGCATGAAATCATAAGTCAAGACGGTCTCTTGAAATTCGTTTGTATCCTTTCTGTTCTTAAGGTTAGCGTATGCGGTATAATATTCTGTCCACATGGGCTCTAGGTTCCTGAGGGAACAAATGGCGTGTGAACCAATTATTGGTCACCAGCTATCATGGGATTGCATCTCCTGACGCTGCTTCATTGACTTGTGGATCAGACCTTTAGATCAAAGGCTACGGGTGTGGCCCCGTAAGAAAACAACCTGCTTCGGTTTGCGCACCCATGCAGTATCGCAGATCACTCGCAATTCAAGTGACTTGTGTGACGCATATGTATTCGGTGCCCCTTTGTGCCAATATTTATGTGTTCAAATAAATCTAGGATTAAGTTTTGTAAATCTTGTCTTGTTGATTGCCTTGCAACCGGTTTCTGTAAACGTCCTCATAGTAGCACAAAGTTTAATTCTTCCTACTATCAACTTATTTTACTTTACCAACATACTTGCCACTTAGCTCATCGGGTTTGTTTTTCTTTCCTAACGGTTAGGAGTTAAGGATTTCTGAATCAGTCACTGAATGTTAATAATGTTTTTGCCTGTCTTCTAAAATTCACACTTTACTATCATTTAGCATGTTTTTCTAGGTTATATATTCGTATGATCCAAACTATTGATCATACCATGTATACTGCTTGAAGTCGTAGTGTTAAAATAATGTAAAAATAGACCAGTTTACTCTATTCACTATTTCAGCAAATAAAATTCACCATACAACTTAATAGAATTTCAACACTTCTTTATTTTGATTCGGGATGAGCCTTTCTGTGACTTATGTTTCACTTTCTTAACATATGTATTTCGGCTACGCTGAAGGAGTTCTGTTGCATGAAAGCCGATGTCAACGCACTGCTGATGAGCTATTAGTCAAAAATCATGATTCGATTTATTTACTGAAGATTCAAGTATTCATATCAACTTGGGAAGTAGCGTATGACACATTCTGGTTAAATCACTGCTACTGCAAAAATTTATTTCCTTTAACTCAGTTAATTGTGAATGCAGTTCTTTTATCTTAATGATGTTATCCAATATATATTGAATTCAGTAGTCTGTTAAAACATCGGTTTTACATAATTTCATTACTCTACGTGTAATTCATTCGACAGATGATGATACACGATTATTTGTCCCTCACTGTTGTTAAATAAACCTAATATGTTTTTTCAGTCAGTCAGTCAGTAACAACGTAGAACTTCTTACGTACGTACATCAGTTCGAGTTGCCACACCACATTAGCACAGAGATGCAGTGGTCGATTCAAATCTCGTAGTGGTAGAGGTAATAAGAGTATAAGCAGTAATCGGGAAAATTAGTGTTTGGAGATGTTATTTAAAGAGCATAATACAGTGAAAGAAATTTGGGAAGAGAAAAAAACGAGACAAGGAGGAATTATAAGATCAAAATTAGGGAGAACACAAAGAATGTATGCACCTGCGCCATTGCAAACGATTTCGAGCGATGTCATTCAGGGTTTCTAACCATCGGTTGCTATCATCTCGCAGATCTCAGCCAGGTAGTCTACACCTACCAACATGACTCAGTCCACTTGTCAGTGACTTCATGGACTTGTGCCATGTTTTAGTCTGGCCAGCCCTAGCTTACTCTCAACCTACTCCTACACTATAAAACATCGCACGTCGAGGCAGTGGGTCGTTGGGCATACGTAACACATGTTCCAGCCATCTCAACTGATGAGTTTATGTACCGAAATTCAAAATGTTACCAAATCCAGATATAGTTATTGATATGGCTTAACAATAATTGTATTCTCAGAGGATAATTTATGTTAATTAATGGAAGTGCTCGATGATTGTCTCCTGTATTCATTCTTCATCATGAATTTGCTTAAGTTTTCAGTAGCCATTTAACCTCTATTCTTCAGGATCTGGGTATTATGGAAGAGTAGAAAAAATGATCCATACACCCACGTCACACGTTTTTGCTGTCAAACACATTTCCGTCCATCTGAATTACCTCTCAAGACCTCTTATTTCTCGAGAATTGGCTGTTGGTACACGCTGTAATCACCGATCTGTGGTTACTTGTTACTGTGGTCTGTTTTGTGAAGGTGATGTTCTTATTGTTATGGAGTTAATGGATACATCTTTGGACAAATTACTAAAGAAAGTGAGTTGTTTCCAGATGGGTGTAACATTTTGTATGACTTTGTTATATCACTTTACGTTATTACTAGATTAAGACACATTTCAAGTTTCGAATTTCCTGTTTATTTTCATTTGAATTCTATTCTTGTGTACACCATACATCGTATTAGTAATATTTAAATTCTAAGCACTTTAGGAAGTTTCTCCAACAATTTGAGGGCGTTTTAGTACCAGTTTGCAAGCTGCGTTTATGGTGTGGACATACATAAGTAGTGCGTAGCAGGAATTGGAATTGGAATGCGTACCAGAAGATTGAAATTAAGTGAAGGAAAACAAGGCAGTTGGAATAACAACAGGATTTGAAGAATAATGAAGGAAGTAAAGGGCAACTCAAGGAAGATACGCAAATGATGTTTTTAATGTATGATTACCCTATTTTACAAAGGAACTGTTTGATTTTGCATAAAACAATAAATTGGTTTACCGTACCTACGTTTTCGTTCACTACATGTCTAACGTATTCGTAATAGAAAATCGGCCTCATTCAACTGAAAAATCACATCAGACTGTCGATGAGTGATGAAATAAAATTATGTGTAAAAGTTTACTTGTCTAATGGTTAGGATATATATTACATGCGTCCATCTAATGTTAATTTCCTATTCAGACTATGGTAGGGTTGGGCTAAAAATAGATTATGGGTGGTCTAATCAAAACATAATGTCAATTTATCAAGGCGATTGACTTCTTTCATGAACCATGTAGGCAGTTGCTGACTTCCTGACTAAAGCTTTACAGACAACCAAACTAGTAATAGACTTCGAGGTATATATCTCAATATGTGTTGTTTTGATACACATACATGCGCACTTTACTTTCTCCAAGTACACGTTGTTTGTCTCTAGTTCTTTGCCACTGATAGCATGATTGTTTTCGTCCCTTTTCTTTTCTCGTTTTATGAATTTCCTATCACACTAGTTATGTGATGTATGGCAGCTTGGATAGGTATATTCTAAAATTTTAGTATAATTTTTTCTATCTGTTATTTTAAGATCATCAGTTAGTGCAGTTTATCAAGTATTCATTGATTTGTGTACAAAGCATGAGTTTTACACTAATGGTTTATCGACCAACTCAAATGAAAATGGAGTTCACGTCTTGCAGTTCATTATTAAAACTGTAAAGTCGGGATCCTATTGTGTTATCTTTAATAAATATATTGTTTGGGAAGCTTATTTTTGAATCTTTATGAAGTATCAGCGATTGCTGGTAGGAGTAAGACCAAGATAATTTACTTTCACAAAAGTTACCTTTCAATGTGTATTCACTTAATGTTGCTAGATTACAGGAATACGCCACCTCTTTTGGTCGAAGTGAGTTTGTCAAACAATAATGATAAGGTATTTTAACATTCGTTTCTTCATTGATGAAATAGATAAAGTACGGCATTTTTATGTTTTTTAAATATTTATCACTACATGCTATAATGTTGGGTTATAAGTAGATGTATTCACTTTCCGTTTCCATGATTACTCTTCATAGGTTTACAACCGTGGTCGTACTTTTCCTACTGACGTCCTAGCGTACATTGTATTATCGGTTGTTGAGGCTCTTGAATATCTACATCAACTTGAGGTTATACATCGTGATGTAAAACCTTCAAACATGCTTGCAGATTGTCAAGGTCGAGTAAAGGTAAGACAAAAAGTTGGAAAAATTTGCATTAGCTATTATCTTTAATTATGTATTGTATTTTCTTATTAAATAAATTAATTGTTTGTGATACGGGAATATTTTCAACCTGAAGTTCAATTACTGCATAACTTTTTAACTCTTTTTGTTCCCGTTTTATGAATAAGGTTTGTGATTTTGGAATATCAGCCGATTTAGAAAATTCAATCGCACTAACCAACATAGGGACAAGAGCTTATTTAGCTCCAGAGCGAATTAATACACGAGAGAATGAAGGGTTTTGTATTCGTTCAGATGTATGGTCACTTGGTTTGAGTGTACTTGAATTAGCAACTGGAAAACCTTGCTATCCTCAATCGCAAAATGTATTTCAGCAATTGGTCCAGGTAATTACGTTTTTTAATGTCTCTATAATTCTGTAGTCATCCTTTACTCAAATGACGTCATATCATATCCACTAGTGCAAAACTCAACAGTCCAATCTTATCTAACGTTCATAGATCTTTCTTTATCGATTAGCATACATTCCATTTGTATTTGGAAGTTTATTTTATTACGAATAATTACATTCGTAGAATAATCCCTATCCCGCCTATTAATCAACGTGATGGCGATTCGGGGCTTTTTATTTAGGCATTTCATCTGAACATGTATATTACTAACCAATCGTCAATTATTCCAGTGATTTACTAATTAGTAATAAAACTTAAAACTCTGGCAGAAACTTTTTCTTCAATTGCTTATTTCATGCAATTCATTGTGATAAAATACTTAGAAATCTAAACACTACCATATTAGTGTGATAACCAAAAGCGTTAACAGCTTTCCAACTTATTGTAAGCTATCACATTCAGGTTGTATTATTTTAAACTATTATGATGATCTTCATATTATTTTACCTGACAAATCATGTGACTTCTAAGTACAAGTTTGTGGGACCTAGCGCGAATGTACTCCGGCCGAAGTAGCTTGAAAGACATAAATGATCCAATGCATATAACCTTATCCCATTCATCTTCGGCATTCTTGTCAAAGTGAGGTGGTACGTAACCTACAACAATTATTTGATTTTCGTTTGGACATTTAAACAAAGTTTTTTGATGACATTTTTATCCGCCACTAAATAAGTGAATTAGTCAACTTATTCAACCATTTCATTTTAGCTATTCAAGTGTGCCGTCGTAAACGCACCCTACAACATCATCTTACAATTGAGATGTGAACCGTCCTCAGTTTCTCCATCATTGTGTTCAGATGTTCTCGTTTGTTGTCAAATATTTTAATAAATGCCACGTTACGATCCACATCTAGACTAAATGATCTAAAAAATTCCTATTGATCTGTTACATTTTCAAAGTCCACGAAAAAAATATTAGGGACTTTTTTGTTCACATAATAGTCAAATAACAACAAAATAAACTAGTAGAATGTATGGTTGTTTTGATTAAAAGATGATAGGTTATTTTATAAGTTTTCACTTAAAATTTCAGTAGTATAGACACAAGTGCATGACTTATCGTTTACGATTTATAAAAATATATTTGATCGCCAATCCAATGAAAGCTTCACTACGTTCTTATCAGTAGGATCTAAAAACGATTCTCACAATGTTATATCATACCAAAGTAAGCACTAAGATGTATAACGTATCTTGAAAATCGTGATTGGCTTAAACAATTCTGTAAGTTGGATTTATAAACGATTATTTGAAATATCAAAAACTAAATCAATAAATTATTTCTGTGTATATTCATTTAAACTTGTCAATCATATGATTACTAAAAAAAACTATAATCTAATTGATATGGTTCTACTTTAAGGTTGTTCACGAACCATCACCACGATTGCCAGAATCAAGTTGTTATCCAAATTCACTTCGTAAATTTATTGATTCATGTCTTATGAAGAACAAGGATGATAGACCGAATTATGTTCAACTACTGGAGTCAGAATTCTTATCAACTGTTGACGCTAAAAGTGGTCAAGAATCATTTAGACTATTTTTAGCAGATTATCTTGATGATAATGAAAAATGTTGATAATTCATTATAATATCCGTTGTTATTATTGATAATGATGTTAACTTACTTAAAAAGTAAGTACATGTATAAATTTTCGCAATCACATCATTAACATTAGGTTATATGTAGTAGGAATTACTTTTTCTCTGCCTGCTTTCATTAACAAAAGTTGTTTACTAACCTATATGTGATACATTCCGGTTTTTTTAACTTCCAAATTTTAAGAGATTTCTTTGCTCCTTATTTGTCTATCAGTGATGATTACAAACTAATCTTTTGGCCAGCCTTGTTGTTATTGCTTTTATCTTGCCAGCATATATATATATATATATATAATTCTCATATATGTATATAATTTCTTCTGTCATTGTTCTCGTTTAACATTATAATATCAATGGTAATTACATTTAACATGTGGTTTTGTCGTTTTATTTTACCTTTAATTTTGTCTTCCTAATTTCGTCTGTCCTTATAAATAATTGTTTCGATCACTACTAGTCAGAAATAACAAACAGATGAATAAGACTTTTTTATATAGCCATTTTCACTGTAGTGGGATTTTATTAAATTTATTTTATTAAAGTGATTTACGTTTTTCTATTAACGAAATATTAGTCATGACCATTGAATGTAATTATTTCCGTTAATACACTGTTAGTTACAATTTTTTTTACAATAATAGTGTTTGTTGAATTCATTAAGAAGCGTTGTTCGTTATATTATTATTATTACACAGCTAGTAAATAGAGAGCTAAGTTGTATGATGTTGAAATAGAAATTCGCTTCATTTTAATTCTGCCCATAAATTTAAGGTGACATATCTATCACTTGCTTTCGTCCACAACAAATACTAAGTTATCATTGAACCCCATATTTATCAACGATTATATATTAGATTGCAATGTTATAACATTATGAGCAAGGATGAATTCTGGCTAGGAGTAAAATCCAGGACGCGCGTTTCGTTTCATTCAGCTACTGAGTCCATATAGTTGAGTGGATAACGCGATGGCGTTTTGAGCGAACGGTACTGGGTTCGAGTCCCGGAGTTAACACCAACTCATGCAGGCACATCCAGCTGACGGGTCCCAAATAGGACGAAACGCGCGTCCTGGATTCCACTACTAGCCAACATCTATCCTTGCTTATAATGCGATATCGACGCTATCCGCACTGGATGTCAGTAAGAGGCTGATCAATTTATTTATTTGAACGCATAAACATTGGTCCAAGAGAGCACTACATACATATACACTATACATGAACAATGAGACTAGTAGCGGTCATCATTGGTTTGTGTGAGGGTCGTGACACTGTCCGGGTGTCTAAACTGAAGTTGGTTTTATGGAGGTCTCACCCCGAGCCTTTGACCTAGAGGTATATTTTACAACTCAGTGGAGCACCATTAGGAGATGCAGCCCTATGATAGCCGGTGACCAACAGTAGGTTCATATGCCCATGTACGCCATTGGTTCGGAGTCAGGGTTATTCAACTCTACTTGTTGGGTCCTCCATTTCCACCGCTTTGGTTAGAGCGCCGGACATTCTCTTTTCGTCCTCTCAGTTTCGTAAACAACACCACCGCGAAACCGATCAATTCCAGTCCTAAGCATTAATGTGAGTATTCAAACAAACAATACACAAAGGAATTAATACTTGGAAACACTAACATTACTCTATTTATAATTTTTCCACAAATATTTTGATAACAGTTTTTTAATACAAAGGCAAGTACATCTGAAAAATTTATTTGTTGTTATAACCATTTTTTATATCAATTACCAAATGACCAATTGTTTTTATGTAATGAACTAATAAGATCATCACATTCCACTTCGTTGACTTATTTTTACTAGCTCAGACTGAAATCTATTTTTTATATTGGCGACTAATTTTTTTCTCGAAATATTGTTGTAGATATTATGATGTACATATGTGTTTCATTATCTCACTGAAAGTTCTGTGATGTGAATATAATAGAAGAGACGACGAATTTTAACGTCTAATATATTTGAGAATATGTATCGTTCATAAATAAAAAGTTGGCATACGATCAAATTGTGCAAGTTTACTGTTTCCATTAAGAAATACTATATATTTCAATGTTTCAGTCTCTACGTATTTGATTCTAATTAAGTAAATCACGAGAATAAGACTAAATTCATTCATCACAAAGTTCTGTTGGTTTTTATTTTCCTCCTAAATAGAAAATGTTTTGCGGTGTAAACATACACGATAATTGTAATCAATCATTTGAGACTCAACTTATTATGGATGGAATGCTGTTGTATTCATTTCCTTTTGGGTATTGATCTTTACCATTACTTCGTACTTTTCATTTTTTGGGTATCAATGCCAAGATTTTACGCGATAGCTTCAAATAAATTGAACATCAATAAAAAGTTAATTATAAATATATTTTTGTGATATCCCATTGAGTAAAAATACAATTTTATATTGATTAGGAAATCACGAAAACAGGTATTATTTCTATTCCTTATTTTCAAGATGTATCTGTTTGTTCCTTCAGTCAGTCACCCGTAGTGAAGTTTCAAGTAAAAGGCATGCACTCTCATCAAAATGTTTAGCGAATCCATTCAAGTTGGTGTTCTGTGTCGTTTTAAGTACTTGAGAATTTAAGCATTCGTTTTTTACAAAATGCTCTCAGTTTCCATCAATATTTATACTTAACTACTTTGCTGCCCTCTAATAAAAATACAGAGATAAGTTGGCCAAGTGTTCCTAATGCCATCAATTCATTCATTCTTCATATTATTGTGTTCACATACATATAGGTTCATTTCGGTTGTGTTTTCGTAATAAAACACTACGAAAACTAATGTCGATCGACTTGGTTTTGCTTTAGTATCTCCTTTTTGTAAGTGATGAAGATAAAAAAGAAATCTTTTGGCTGATTACACATTTAGTTGTTCGGTTATTTTATTAATAAAACTTGAACAGTGGTCTAGGAAATATTTCATCCTAGTTTGTAGAATATCAGTGATTCTCAATCTAAATTTCTTCCTAGGTAAGACATCTGTGGGTTAGCTGTATTCCATAGTGTGAGTGACCACTCGTCGGCATATAACAAGACCGATACTGACACAACTGGAGAGTTTCGTAGACATACACTGGTCTTACTTTTGCATACCGAGGGATTCTGAGAAATATTTTTCAAGACAGTTTAACCAATACTTTTGTCTTGAGTCCAGATAGGAAGTAGTTTATCCATAGTTGTTAACCTACTATTCCCTCGGTTAAGTCTTACATTACTAATATTTCTGTTACTTGTGTAGTTTATACTCTTATCCGAGGTATGGAATGAGTTCACTCCCTAGTGATAATGATCACAGATTACTGTATAAAAGAAAAAACAGCAGCGTGTGTTGTAGTCTTCATCTTTCTACGAGCTTTCATAATGCAGGGGTGAAGTTTCTTATTTAGATTTGCCGTTCAGCGCCAATTGTTGACTTTCGGAAGACTAAAGATGATTGTCAAGCGACAACTATTTGAAGTGAAAAATAGTAAAAAGTAATATGCCTCGTGAAACCGCATGTAGCTCTCCAACAACCACATACCCATTTTGACGATGTTCCTACCTTAATTCATTTTGAAAACAGTTTTAGTTCCTGAAGCGTGGGCGAGAATGATAACGATTGGTTGTCTGCTCAGTCAGTCATGTAGATTGTCTGACAGGTGAGTTACATATTCCCTTATCCTTTTTATTATTAGGACTCACTTATTATTGATATTTCATTGTTGTCGGGTTGTGCCGGGTATTTGGTTTAGAAATATATTTACGTTGTGGTCAGGCTAATCACGTGTTCTTGATCTGACTTGTTTTGAAGTTGTGTAGAATAAACTCTGGGAGTGAATCTAGTGTAGATATTCGTCTAAGGTAAATTAACATCCAATACATGGAAACCTAACCCTTATAACATTAGACGAAGTAAAACCGAGCCTTATAAAATTGGAGACGGGGTAAAAAGCAAAGAACCAAGGGCATAAAACCATAAGATATAACAATTTCTCTCATCGCGTGCCCAAAAACGTTTGTGCCTGAACATTTGACTGTGGACGGTGATGCGGAAGCAAAAATATTTGGAGGTAAGCCGTTGGCAGAATACTTGGAACTGACCGAAAGCGAACTGCAGACCGTTATCCGACACGGTTGCACTAGGTAATCGACTGCAGGGAAAATTTCAGCCTAGTGCTGTAGTGCTTTGGTCGTCGTTGGTGGCATCATGAGACGGATTCCGGACAATTTCGAACGCGGATCAACTGCAAGTAGGCAAATATTTCCATCAACTGGGCCAGCGAAGTAGACATGTATCCTGGACAAGATATACTCAGGCTGTGATCATGAAACCTGCGGTACTTTCGGGTCAAACCCCGCCGCTTGTCGACACTGCGTATTTGCCCACCAAATCTAATATGTGCTTGTCCACAAGAGGCCAATATACATAACTTCGAGCTATGGAGTTCTTTCGTTTTGCACAAGGATGATCAATATGAAACTGCTTCGGCATCTTTGGTCGTAGAGATTTTGACACCACCACCCTCTTTCCAAACATCAAGCATTCGCTCATGATACATAATTAATCCCGATGGTAAAGTTGCTTCACATCACTATCGAGACTAGTAGACGGCGAACCGACGCTGATGTGAATCGTCTCCTTAATGATAGGGTCATTCTCGGAAGCAGATTGTATATCTGGAGCTGATACTGGTAAAGCGCGAATAGAAGTTGTCAGGTAATAGTTTGCATGTTTCTTTGTCGAGAGCTAAGCGAAAATTAGTGCTTCCACTGCTGCTATTAGTGGATTCTGATTCCTTTTAACGACACTGTCTTAAAGTACAATTTTGTACAAAATGCCATGCATCACAGTGCCAGTATGGAGCCAGAGGGCTTGTTTTTGTCCGTTCGAGTGAGATGGACTAGGAATAGCGGGCGCGGATTTGGCCGTGTTATGTAGTTGCTGGTGTACATGAACTTCTGATAGATCAGAACCCTGTTA